CACCTTGATCTAAAGAGTATAGAAGGATTCCTGCCAAAAGCCTAAAGAGAAAGTGAGTGGGACATTTGCCACAACAGAGATGACTAAATCGGATACCTACTTGCTGAGGGGCTTCATCCCCTTCCTGCTCCTGCCGTCTCATTGGCAGCTAAGAAGACCCAAATAAATCAATAAATGGAACAATAAATGGCAGAATTCTCCAACATGTATGCCTTTTTTACACAACCTGTATAAGCGGCAGAATTCACCTTTTCAGGTAGTAGCATCTGTAGTGTGCAAATGACCCTGGAGTTAGGAAGATGGTCAGGGGATAAATTCCCTTTGTCCTAACTCTCCTCTCCTCTTTAGTTCTGTCTTAGGTGCTCAGTGCTGATGCCTCATTTTTGTGGCGGTGGCATACCAAGGTTTACCCCACTGCTCTAGGATACTTGAGACTACGGCACTATCCTGCTTTCTTGTGCTCTACTTTGTGCGGTTTTTATTTCTTTTCACAGAATCCTGCTGACAGTATTTTGGTTTCTCTGGTAGGGCCTGTCAGGCAGAACTGTCTTCCCGAATGAACCGAGAGCATCCGGCTGACCGGTTGTTGGAAGCGAAAGCGCAGCTGGGACCCAGTAAGTGGGCAGTTCTAGTGCAGGCTGTGAAACAGGTGGCCCTCCAGGTGTCTCTGGACTCCCATCAGTCCCATCCAGCACGGCCAGCAGTCAAGGATGATGAGCGTTGCAACCCAGCAACATCTGTAGGGCTGTAGGTTCCCTAGCCCTGTGTCTGTCTGTGTGCGAGAGAGAGAGAAAGGGAAGTGGCTTCAGAGGACAGGCTTATTTTTGAGCCCAGTCTGCCTTCATCATCCTTTCACCTTCCCCAGGTCTCAGCTATTTCATATGAAAAATTCATGGAGACTGACTGCTGCTTTTCCTTACAAGTAAAAAGTGTGTGTGTGTGTGTGTGTGTGTGTGTGTATTCAACCACACGATGGCATAAAAATTTGGAAGACTCTTCAGTGCCAAATCCACCACTTCAAGTTGGCAGTCCCTGGTTCAGTCCATTGTCCTGACTCCTCTCCCCCCCCCCACCAGTGTTTGCTCCCCGCCCCCACACTCCATGTTTGGCCCAATCCAGGCCAATGGGTGCTGACCCACAATATGCTGATGCTTTGTGCCCATTCTGCCTCTTTACCCTAGGCACAGAAGGATGGCCGTCCTCCTTGAAGGTCCTCAGTCTGCCTGAGCTCTCGGCTCTTCTGGAGCAGTGCTGGGGGGAAATGGGTAAGGTTTGAAGATCATCCGATGCTCATGTTCCCCTTGTTTGGCACCGGTTGGTGGGTGTAAAGTCCAAGTCAAATAACGGGCTTGCCTTTCTCCCCTGTCCTGCATTGAAGAACATCTCCATCCCTAGGCACCTGTGCTTATTATAGCTTTTTCTGTGTCCCCAGGGAAGGCTCTTAGTTCTGTCAACCTTAATCTCGAGAGCCTGCAGAGTCTAGAGAAGGGCAAGCCGCCCCAGAAATAGCCCTAGGAGTGGAGGAAGGTACGTAGTGGAGCGCTGTTGAACGAGATGCATGTCTGTCTGAGAAGAGAGAGCACTTGGTAGCAAAGTGGCATTCTGCTTTCAAGCTCTCTGTCCGCTCTCCTCTAACTTCAGGGTTGTGTAAAGTCATATCTGCGCAGCAAACATTATACTGATTTATACTCTCCTCCCCCTCCCCAGATCCTCAGGATTCCTAGTTGTTGCTCCCCACTGACAGTCTTTCTACACAACTCATGCCTGATTGAGAGCCATCACAGTATAAAAAACCAAGTTTTCGATCCTGCTTTAAAATGGTAGCGGACACAAGCCCCAGCAAAAGCAGTGTCATCACCCTTGTAAAATGATGGTTACTCGGGCAGTGGTGGCTGGCACCATTGGGGCTGGTTGGGTGGAAGGCGGAGAGCAGAGAGCCAACAATAAGGAACAGAGTGAGATATCCTTGGCTGTGTCCCCATCCAGGCAATACCACCCTCCGGACTGGTTTTCAGTAAAGAATTAATCAAGTGGGGGCTGGCTGAGAGCAGACTGAGGATGGTGGGGCAGTGCAGTAGCCCTAACAAGGTGGAAAATCATGACACAACCAGTTTATAATTTGTATTATGGAGAAAGGGGATGGCGAACCTGATGGAACTTTGCTCCAATCCTGCAGGGCTCTTGAGTTTTCTGGATGCAAATGTTTGCAGATAGAGTGACTTTTGAATTAAATCGCCCCTGCCACCACCACTTTGAACAACTGGCCAAAGTCCATGCAGCACAAGTGCTCATGCTGCTGCCTCTTTTTTCTTTCCTGGGTGCGATTGTTTTTGCAGAGGTTCTGACGTCGGGTGAACGTTCCACCCAGAAGCTGTGTTTTACCTGAGGAGGAAGCATGAGTGAGTGCGAGAGAGAGAGATATGGCTCAACGGCACAGGTCATCTGCAGCGAGAGCTGCCAGCGGCTGTCCTAGGAAAGCAGGTGCGCCATTGCAGAGAAGGGAGGCCAGGTCTGCTGTGCTGAAGAAGGACCAAGGCACCTAAATCCTGCTGGAAGAGCTGGAAGCAAAGGGTTCTCTCCAAGCTTGGAAGTTCCAAGGCGGGCATTTTGTGTCTGCATCTCTTTGCTGGATATTCTGTCTGTTTTGGCAACCAGGTTCCTCTCCATTGGTCCCCTTCCCTGTGCCCACATGGGAGGAAAGATGAGGCAGGAGGTGGCCAGGAGACCCCACGCTTAGAGGGTTTTATCCTTGGGAGATTACCTGTTTGGGGGATGCAAGGACTTCTGTGTCCTGCCCAGCTGCATGGAGACCTGATGTATACCTGAGCTGGCACTGCAATGGTGGGGAGGAGGTTCCATTATCAAAGCCCATTGTTTAAGAAAGAAAGCAACCCAAACACACACACACACACTTTTTCCATGAAAGTGCCTCCATAGTAGCAACCACTGGGTCTCTCCTAGCCTTTTATTCTTCCAGCAGGGAACTTGTGGCTTTATTCACAACAACTTACAATGAGATAGCACCTCTCACCGTAGGCGTGAAGTTATAAAACTTCTTGCTGTCTTGACTTGGGGTGCTCATGGCTTGGCCGGGAAAATCTGTGAGTTCCAGCAACCAAAGACCACAACTTACAGGGATTGCTTATCCTGGGATGTGCAAGAACTCATGTCCACTTTGGAGAATGGAAATCCAGCATTTGATGTGACCTTGGGAATGTTTATCCCAGGCTAGCTGATGGTGTGAAGTGACTCCAGGATTCAGAGCAAGAGGGTTCCCCAAGCCCATCTAGCAACGTATGTAGGCAGTCCAGGAGTTACTGAATAACACGTACTGTGTCTTGCTTGGCCTTCTCTGATTTTTGGAGAATGGGGGTGAGGGTGGGAGAAAGAAAGAGGAGAAGCCTTTTCATTTATCTGACTTCTGATATGCACGTCATCATATAGAGTTCATGCATAGGCCTTGGTTTGCTGCACACCTGTATTGCGTGGAAACCTAAGCACAAAGCACATAATTGTCTCAGAAAATTCTTGTGTTAATATTAGGTCTTCACATGATGCAGGTATAAAGTGAAGCAAGGCTTGTGCGTGGACAGCAGGAGCATAAATCTGAAGCAGCTAGCAGATGAATCACACGGCCATGTATTTAACCTACAGAATAAAAAGTTATCCCAAAGCCAGGCATGGCTGCACCCAGTAGCAAAGCTGTCCCATTTTTTCCACTCCTGAAACATGCAAAACAGTTACCCAAAAAAGTGCACATTTTAGCAGGCTGGTGGATGCTGTTCTGCATCTGTTGTGCAAATTGTAGCCTTCCCATTAATGCACAGAGGGGGATGTGTGTGTCTTTAAGTGACTTCTGATAGGCTCAGCAAAGGGAGGCTGCTTTGGGGTAAACCCCTCTGCTTCACAGCCTTCTTTTCTGATGCACATCTTAAGCCTAGTTCTCACAGATAGTAAAAGATTTTAAATGTTGCATGTTTTATTGCCTTTAATGTTGTGTTACTAAAATTGTGAAGTTGCCTTGAAATTTATGTAATGGGGGGTATTATATAAAAATAAAATAAGCCTATGGCTGGGCTGTACAACTTCAGACTACACCGAGGGGCTGAAAGGATTCATCCTTCATGCACCAGATGTTGGGAGGTGATGGCTCTTCTAACCCAGTCTTTTTTCCTGCCATGCTTTATAAGGTGCAGGAAACTATTGTATGGTGGGGTATTCATTCCTAGACAAGCTAAAGCGGTACAGCTCAGAGCATACTTCCACCATTATGTTTACTGCTTGTGAGAACTAGAGGTGGTGGCAATTTCTTTTTGATTTGTTGATTTTGAGGGACGGTGGAGCAAAATCATTTTTTTAAACAGAAGATCTGGAGCTTTTGAAAACCCAAGGTGGTCTGTGTCTTAACTAGAATAGGATTGGACGTGGTTTAGCAAGATCATTGTTGTGAGTTGATGGCTGTTGAGGTTGTCATTCTCTGTTCTGGGATGTTTTATTAATCTGGGCTTAGTTTCAGCATTTGAGTACATCTGTGGTCATAACAATGGGGCGGAGAGTGAGATCTCAGAAAAAAGTTATATTTGATGACCAGCATTTAACAGGCACTGACTGATCTGTGAATAAATTTTACTTTTACTGTCTGAGTTGCTGCTTGGTTGTTGTGCATAGTATGTGATTATACAATTCAGATCTTTACAGGCGTGTTCTCTTCCTCCTTCCATTGTGCTTCATAACAGCTACAATCCTGCACCATATAGTGGCAGCAGCAAGAGGATTATAGCCGTACTCAACCCTCATGGTAAAATTCACAGGAAGCAGATCCATCCCTCATGATCCCCTCCAAACATTACCTGAGCAGAATAGGAGTAGCTGTGCTGCTGCTTGTAACAGATACAGATTACACTCTATATTGGCTGTTTCCTGGTGAAATGGCTTGCTCTCGTGTTGTGCAAGAATTAGAGAATTCCCCCCCCCCCGCCCCCAAAAAAATCCTATGACACAACTACTTTTCGAGGTGGTCACACAGAATGGCAACCAACATGAATGTACCTCAGTAATGAAGAAGGCGTTCAAAGTTTTATTAGCTTGAAAAACTCTTGGAGTGTTTACAGAAGCCTGCAATGAAGGGACTGGTGTTGGATGGGAGTCCTCTATTCCATCTTACTTATAGTTGCTCTGCATCGTGTACCCTTTACCTCCAAGAAAGGAAGAACCTGCAGAGAAAATGGAAGTTCTACAAGTTCTAGAAGATGCTAAGCTTGTGGTGGGGAATAGCTGTGCTTTAGAATCCCTTTGAGCTTCCAGACCTGTAATCCTTCAAATCTTCCACTGCAGCTGTGCAGAGATTAGGTCACAGCGAGATGAACCTGCCTGTGTCTTCTTTGACGCAACCCTGACGTCCAAGTCATCCAGCTCTTCTCCGCTGTGCTTCCTTCTCCTCCCCCTGCCCCCAAAGGGCATCCCTTTTGCCAGAAATAATTGGCACTGTTTTGAAACATGCGTAGAACAGTTGTCTGTGTGAAACTACCCTTCCCCTTGAGTGTTACATTTAAAAGAAGTGGCCTACTTAGTCTTAGCAGGCACAGAACAGATGGGATTCATTTGGTCCTCCAGAAGTTGCTGGACTACAACACCCATCACCCCTGCCCTGCTTACTGGGGCTGATGGGAGTTATAGTTTAGTAGCACCTGGGGGCTCAAAGGTTTGCTACTCCTGCTGCAGAGCAAACATTCTCCAAAACGCCAATAGCTGGGTCACCTGCATTCCCCCACCCCCTGCAATAAAACTAAAGGACACTTGACTTAAATGTTTCGTAGCACTGCCCATTCCAGAACAGGCATCTTTTTTGCCGCCTCCAAGGTAGCTCAATTCGTACAGCCTCCAGACATCACCTTCCCACTTTCTTCCAGGATGTTTTTTTTCCATAGCAATGACTTCTACAAGTTGCTCAGCATTGTAAATTGGCTGTGTGCAGCCAATCCTTATTCTTCCCTGGAGAAGGAGGGGCTACCGTAGCGCCTGCACCCCTCAAAAGTTTTTTGCAGCCAGAGAGAAAGGCCAGTGCTGCAGAAGGAGGGGGCAGTAGCTTCAATTCAATAAGGCACAATTCAGCCCCTCCTCTCAGAGCATGTTCCTATGCCCTCAGTTTTTTCTTCAAAACCCTCCATGGCCTTATACTTCTATGTGCTTTATTTATTGGCACATTCCTTCCTGTGACCTTTGACCTCGACCTTACCTCTCTACCCAAAATTACAGCCTTTTCCCTTTAGTGGGAGAGAGGCATTTCCAGGCAACCTCCCTTAGGAGAGTCATCATTTCCTCCTCCTCCCATCGCCAGTCGCTCTGCCCTGTAACAAAGCCAACTCAAAATAATTGCATATTCTTCCCATGCCTCTAAATTCTCCCTTTCCCATGTTGTTCCCTTGCATCTGCGTTGCACGTCAGCCCCCTGGAGCCATGGACCTGTTCTTTGCAAAGTGACATATATGGATAGACGGTGGTATATGAAGAATGATCATCGTCCCACACGCACTGGGCAGCCAAAGAAAACCTTCAGAGCTGCCCAAAGGGGAAAAGAGGCAGGAGGAGTTGTTTGAGATGCAAAGTGCGTCCACTGCTGGTTCCGTGAAGCCCGAGAAGGTCAGGGTGTGCAGGGAAAGTACTCTGAGTTCTCCCAGTGTTAACCTTGCAAAGTGATGCATCAGAAGCTTGTGCTTTTTAATGAGCACAGGGACCTCATGCAGAAGCTGAGCAAAGCACAATCCTCTTGACTCCCCAGAAATGTCCTCTTTGGAGCCAAACCACTGGGCTCAGCCATAGCTGAGGGGAGCGTTGCAGAGTTCCCACACTGAGTGAGGCTGGCCAAAGCCTGGGCTACACAGAGCCATGACGTCACTTGAAGGGATCCTCAATGGGTTTCTTGCTCTGGCATCTTCAGAAACAAAACTGCTGAGGGATCTCAGTGCCTGTGTCTGCAAGGCTATCTTGATCTTGGCTTAGAATCCTGTAGCCTTCATAGTTGAGAGAGGAGGAATTCTTTCCTCTGGTACAGAATACACCTCTCTGAAAAGCTTGAAGGTAGATAGCAGCTGCTGAACAATGGGAACAGGTGGTAGAGGACAGTATTAAGGCCCTTGGTGATCTCCTAGGATGGACTGCCATCCTACCAAAGCTGAATCCTGAGTTGGTTTTGAGACGTGGAACACAGGAAGCTCCCTTATCCCAAGTCAAACCATTTCTTCATCTGGTATTGCCTACTCTGGCTGGGCAGTGACTCTCCAAGATTTCCAATGGGGTCTCATCCTGCCCTATCTGGAGATCCTGGGGATTGAACCTGGACCTTCTCCATTCAAAGCCGATGCTGTACCATAGAGCTAGACACGCACACATCCCTCTCTAATTCCTGGAGCTTCAGGATTCCTTCTGCAGCATTATACACATCCTCCATCAGGCTCTTTGGCACTTCCTAATGCTTTTTCATGGCTGGTTTATCATCATCTGGGTGCTGTAAGCCAGCAATGTCAATTTCTATGTTTTGCCCAACTGGTAGAAATAACCTCTGCCCCCTTTTTCAGAACGTTGCCTGTGGTCCTCCAACAAAGCTGTGAGCATCACCACCACCATTGCCCCAAGCACTCTGTGGCCATCTGAGAATGCCAGGTGCAGCATCATAGGACAGAGCATCAGTCGCTGTCTTAAGGAGCTCTTGGTGTCCCCAATTTCCTCTTACTGGGTGCAGCAGAGGGCAGGGTGGTCCAGTTTCCAAAGCTGCCACCTCTTCTTCATTTCGGATTTCACCTGGATGAAAAGGAAGCATAAGAACAGCCTCCTGAATCAGGCCAGATATACAACTGAGAAACTAAGCAAAAACCTTCTAAAATGGAATAAAATATTCCCAAAACAGTAACAATTAAAAACATCTAAAAACTGTTTCAGTTAAAAGCAACTGCGATTCAAAACATCCTTCCACCCAGTGATCTTGGGGTTTCCAGAATCAGTATTCTTTAGCCACCAAGTATGCTTAAATAAACAGGAATGTTTTCAAATTCCTTCTGGAAAGCTAATAATGATGGGAGACAGGCACACCTCACCAGGGAGGGCATTTCACAACTGGGGAACCACCACCAAAAAGGCCCAGTCAGCCCCACCAGACATCCCTTGGTGATGTCAGCACCAACAGGTCCTCATCTGCCAATCAGAGGCTCCAATAGGTAAGGCTGATCAGGGATTAGTATGAGCTGTATAAGATTGCATGCCCAAGAATGACTGGATCATCTCAGCCGGGGTGGGTGGTGGGGACATTGCTTACCTCCTTATTTGCAAAGCAATACAAGACAGCAACCAGGAATCCCTGCAGTAGATGAGAGAGAGAAGGAAGCATGAGCTTGCAATAGCAAACAGGAACCTGTTGGAAAACAGGGCTAAAGCCTGATGGCTTTTGCCAGACAATTTATTTCTGCACACTGCTGCCACATACATTCTCCAACAAACTTTCCGTTTTAGGGTGGAAGTAGGAAATGGGGGAGGGGATCAGGAAACAAGTAAGCAACCATGTCAGAAAGCAGGTGATCCAAGCCAGGTGCTCCCAAACTCACCTGAAAGGAGTTGAGGAAGAGAGTGAAGAAGACTTTGATGTAGCGCAGCACTCCTGTAGTTTGCTCATCTGTGACAAAAATGAAGACTACTTCATGGATCCCAAAGAGAGGGACAAGGGTGAGGGTGGCTTTGGCCAGCCTGGAAGGGACAACACCAAACAGGAGATGAAACTTAAGTTCCTGAGTTCTGGACTGGGGCTTTTCTTTGGGAAGCCTGAGCCAGCAAGTTTTCTTTGGGATTTACCTGGCGGACAAACTCACCGCAGTTTGTAGTCTGCATAGCCCTTCTGATTGGCTCGCAGCTTGGCCAGGATCACTTTGAGAATCTGCATGAAGATCAGCAGGTTGATCTGGGAAGACACAGTGGTGAGTTAATCAAAGCTTGGAAGCAACAAGCCCCTTGCTCACAAAAAGATGCTAACAAGAATATAAGACATTGCAGCTGGGAAGACTGTACCATGTTCTTTCTTCCCCCTGTAGATTTTAGGGAAGAGCCATAGCTCAGGGGGTAGAGCATCTGCTTTGCATGCAGAAGGTCCCAGGTTCAATCCCTGACATCACTAGGAGAGACGCCAGCCTGAAACCTTGGGAGAGTTGCTGCCAGTCAGAGTAGACAGTACTGAGCTAGTCTGACTTGGTGTAAGGCAGCTTCCTGTGTAGCATTTAAATGGGGGGTGAGAGACACAACATATTGCAAAGCTATACTGCTTTGACATGGCTGGTAAAGGTGTTGCTCTTCCTGAGTACCAAAAGCCAACCAGACTCCCTACCACCACCACCAGAAAGGCACCATCCTCCCCCTCTCGCCCCATCTCAAGCTAGGCAAGGGGAACAAGGGGGAGGCACTTACCACAGAGGCTAGCAAAATAGGGATGCGAATAATCCACCAGTAATTCATGTTCTCGTTCAATGCCCAGCACCTGCAGCACAAACAGGGAGGAGATCGGCATCATTCCAGAGGGGTTAATGGAACAGGCAGGGAAACAGCTCTGTGGGAAAATGGCAAGCAGGGCTGCTCCATCAGCTCCACTGAGAAGCCACAGAAGATTGTGGGAGACATGTCACCTTGTTCAGTTATTGACCTGCATCTTTTTCCCCCTGTTTGACTGTATAACATAAAATCCCTTCCCGTGCCAATCAGCCCAAATTCCCCATCCCAGTACCACCACACTCACTCTGCATTCTCCTTCAGGTACTTGGCAGCCATCCACGGCACCACAAAAGCCACGGGGGTTCCTGCAAGTCACACAGCAAAAGCTCTGGGAAAAACCAAACACTCACTGGAAGTCGAGAAGCAAGCTAGGTCCACCCCACTGCATTACTGGGTTAAAAGGCACTGTCTCCACCCCCATGGTTCTGCCCGGACACTGAGGTCCAGTGCCAAGGGCCTTCTGGCAGTTCCCTCTCTGCGAGAAGCCAAGTTACAGGGAACCAGGCAGAGGGCCTTCTCGGTAGTGGCACCTGCCCTGTGGAACGCCCTCCCACCAGATGTCAAAGTGAACAACAACTACCAGACTTTTAGAAGACATCTGAAGGCAGCCCTGTTTAGGGAAGCTTTTAATGTTTAATAGACTATTGTATTTTAATATTCTGTTGGAAGCCGCCCAGAGTGGCTGAGGAAACCCAGCCAGATGGGCGGGGTATAAATAAATTGTTGCTGTTGTTGTTGTTGTTGTTATCCCTTCTTCAGCATCCCAAATCAAGCACCATACATCAAGGGGTCTTCAGCCCAGAAAAGGTTCATCAATAGCCAAGATGCGGAGCTTCCTATTCCCTACCTTGACTCAGCCCTTGAGCCCAAATGGGCAAATTGCCCAGGTAATGCAATTGCTGCAGCTGGAGTTCCAAAATTAGCACTGCGTATAAAATAGTGTCCTTTGCTTAAGTTCAATTCTCAAGATTCGGAATTGTCCCCTCCCCCCAAAAAATCACAATGTATGAAAAGAAGATAGATTGAAGCTGGGGGTAAGAACTGTAGACTGTTCCCAGTGGGACTGGTAGGGCAAAAGGCAGGGAGCCCAACAGTAGGGGGAGCCAGATCCCATAGTAGGGAGAGCCAACTAATGCTAGCTTTGAGCAAGATTATAGGTCCTGGGCGGCTTTTCCTTAAAATAAAACGAAGTGCGCTTAACAATGTATTGTGTGCGCTGGCCCCAGTATTAGCAAGCGCCTCCCAGCCCAATTCTTCCTTACCCCAGCCCAAGTACAGGTACAGAGTGTAGTAATTCTTCTCTGAAAACACAGCTCCAATCAGAAGCTTGTACAGGTAGACCGCCTCCGCAAGAAACCAATAATGATTGGCCAGAATACAGTACTGCATCACGACTTGAGCCACTCGACAACCAATCGCAGCCTAGAATAAGAGAGCCAATCAGTGTCTAATAAAGAACCCTTTCCAGCACTTATGAAAAACATGGAAATAATACAGTAATACACATACTGTTGGCATTTCAATCATCATCGTTATTCCAGTTATTTTTGTCATTTCAATTATTGCTGTTCTTGTTTCAATGATTATTATACCCGTTTACAGCTTGGTTTTTTTAAAAACAAAATCTAAGTTATCAAAAGACACATCAATAAAAATTAGAACCATTTAAAGCACCTACTTAAAAAGCCAACAAGGAAGGGGGCTTAACTCAGAAGCAACAGAACATTTGCCTTGCATTCAGAAGGTCCAGGTTCAATCTCTGGCATCTCCAGGAAGGGCTAGGAGGGTCCCCTGGCTGAGAGTGCTGGAGAAATGCTGCCTGTCAGTGTAGACAATACTGAGCTAGATGGACCAATAGTCTGACTCAGTATCACATGGCTTCCTATGTTGTTGGACTAGAATATCCATCATCCTTGACCACTGGCCCTGCAGTGAGGCTGGTGGGAGTTTCAGCCTCACTGTCCAGCTATCTTAAGTGGGGCACGGTTAAAAAAGATGGGGCTTCATTTTTTTTCCCCCCAGCACTTTACATGGAATGGTTTTCAGCAAAGGTTCCCAAGATGCTGAGCTCCATGCTGTCTTCGCTGACTGGAGGAAGAGGAGAGGACAGAGGGTGAAGAAAGAGCTGTGAGTGGAGGTGGCGACCTTCTTCCCATCCTTTGGACCTCCTGGGAAACTCAGCAAACCTGCTGTACCTGGAACTGGGTGTGGAGAGTACAGCTGAATGGGACACAGCTTTGGGTAGCCTGTAGAAGCACCATGCCAAACCCATAAAAGGCAAGTCTAGAGTGAGAGACTAGGGTGATACCTGCTGTTTCCAGGAAGTCTTCTCATTGGGAGACTTTTGGGGTGAGCTGAGAGTTTGTTTGAACCCTTCATGGGAACCCGGAAGCTGAACAGGGGGGTTTATCAGAAGGAAAATGAATTGATTATGATTTTTATATATTAGCAACTTTTGATTAATGTAACATTTTTATATGTAACTGTGCATTTTTTGTAATATTTTGTTTAAGTTGTCTGCTACAGTTTTTTGTACACCACTCAGATATATTTTTAATAAATGAATTAAAGGGGGGAAAACCAGAGTCCTTTTTGTTGGGATAATTCAGATGGAAATTCCCAGGTGTCAAGAAAGGTTATTTATGTATGCCACTAATGCAGCTCGTGTTTTGTTAGCCCCAAAATGGAAAATGAGCGAAGTCCTAACTAAAGAAGAATGGCAACTTAAACTGATGGAATATGCTCAGCTTGCAGACCTAACATATAGAATAAGAGAACAAGACGTACATACGTTTAAAGAAGATTGGAAAATGTTTATTGAATATATGGAGGGAAATTGTGTATATTTGAAAACATGGACAGTGTTAAGATAAATTCAACAGTTTTGATGGATGTAGTAATGGAATACTGAATGGTTTAGTTTATATAAAATATGCAGGGATTTATGTTATGCAAAATGAACCATGGAAAGAGAAGAAGGGAAGTTATTGGTATTTTAAGGTTGTTTAAATGAATATTCTAAAATGTAAAACAGAAATGTTAATAAAAAATATAGGGGGAAAAGAAATCAAATAATCAAATCAAACATTAAGCCCAAAAGAGCAAATTGCTCAGGAGATGCAAAATCTGCCATTGGAATTGAGTGCAATAGTGCTGGTTTCTTTAGGTTCATGCGACAGTCTGCAGGAATCATACTTGCCTCGTGGCTCAGCAAGGCCTCCCAGTCGGACACCTGGAACGTCTCCCTTCTCCACATCTGCTCCAGCAATGCATCCTTCACGATCACAGAGATGGCCCGTAGCCCAAAGGAGGCGAAGAGGTTTGCATGGATGTAGTTCCGGGTACAGCGAAGCTTCCTGGGGGGTGAAAAGGACATTGCACTGGGTACCCAATGTGGGCAGGTGGGATGCCGTCCACTCTCTGGTGACCCAGTAGCTCCACACCATTCTATAATTGCTTTGAAAACACAAGCCTTCCAACGAAGCTGGTGTAAAACCTATTGACGGTCAGAGCAGCTCAGGAGTGGAACCAATTGCCTGGAGGGGTGGTGGGCCCTCCCTTGCTGGAGATCGTCATGCAGGGGTTCAACTCAAGCCAGGCTGCCAAAGAAGATCCCTGCCCAAAGCAAGGCTTGTAAGCTCCTGATCAGAAACTCCCTGGCGCATCCAATCCCAGCAGGTCCCTATTGAACCTAATATGGCTCGTGGGCCAGAGGTTCCCCCATGCCTTGGTGTTGACAGTATCAAGCTGCATGGAGTGGTCTGTCTCAATGCAAAATGCTTCCTACATATCTTAGTCATAGGCTAGATCAGTGGTCAGAAACCTTTTTCAGCTGTGGGCCGGTCCACCGTCCCTCAGACCATGTGGTGGGCCAGACTATATTTTGGGGGGGAAATGAAAGAATTCCTATGCCCCACAAATAACCCAGAGATGCATTTTAAATAAAAGGACACATTCTACTCATGTAAAAACATCAGGCAGGCCCCACAAATAAACCAGAGATGCGTTTTAAATACAAGGACACATTCTATTCATGTAAAAACATGCCGATGCCTGGACTGTCTGTGGGCCGGATTTAGAAGGCGATTGGGCCACATCCGGCCCACAGGCCTTATGTTGCCTACCCCTGGGCTAGATGGACCCAGTAGAAAAGCAGCTTCCTGTGATCACAGACAATGCTGGACACAGTCCTGTGTATGTTGAAGGGGTCGCCATGTGCCTATCCAAAATTATAGCAGCCAAATGCTGTGGATTTCTCTTCTCTCTCTCTTCCTTGCACACCTGAACCTGTATAGAAAAGACTGCACACTTGAGAGAGAAAGGGAGAGGCAAAGGCATCCCACAGGGTCTTTCACTCTGAGCCAGGATGCAGTACCTGAAGACCGTCAGGATGAGCAGAGCCAAGACCAGGGCCAGCAGAGAGAGGGAGTAGCCCACGGTGTAGAGGACCTTGAAGCTGACCATCAGGCGGTAGGATGATTCCTGTACAGGAGAGGAGGCCCCATCAGACAAGCCAAGGCAGCCCATTTCCACTCTTTTCCGGACGCATCCAGCCCATTGGGGAAGATGCAACTGGGAGCATCGGAGGGCAGGGACAGGGTAGGCCTTTGGGGCAGAGATCCAGGCTCCATTCAGCAGAACAAGCAGGAAGGCCCTCAAACACTGCCAGCCCAGGCTTGCCATGTTTAGAAGCAAATGACATGTCATTATGAGCTTCACAGAGGGCCAGCAAATCCCAGCAGGCTCCCCTTCTCACCTCTCCAGTGTTGCCATCCACCTCTTCCTTGCACTGGGAATGGTCCCTCCAGAGCTCTGTCCCGTTCAGCATCGCCCAGTGGCCATCAGGCCCACACTTGCGGCTCACCGTACCATGTTTAACTGCGAGTAAAAAAAGGCCAGACATTGTCAGGCTGACATGCTTGGAAATGTCAGCTGTCTTAGCATCACTGTGCAGAACATACGTCCACTGAAAGCAAGACTTGCTGGCATGAGCTAAGCTGCAAAACAACATCAAACCTAACATTATGTAACATACATTCAACAAACACACAAAACGTAACCGGCTATGCACAGCCGGTTATGTTTTGTGTGTTTGTTGAAGGCATGAGCTAAGCTGCAGGGAGGAAGGGAGAGTCCAATCCTCTGAGGGACCATAACAATAGGGCCAAGCAGTAGGACCCAGAGGGAGAGCTGGGCTCCAACCACCCCAGCACAGTGAGTCAGGCACTATCATTTATATATTCAGAGGTCACAGGGCTACTGTCAAAAAGGACAGCCCAGTGTCAGAGCTCCCCTTATGCATTTTGTAACATCTAGTTCAACTTATCACGGCCTAGGACCCTCGTACCTACGGGACCGCCTCTCCCGGTATGCCCCACGGAGAGCCTCAAAGTCCATAAATAGCAACACCCTAGTGGTCCCGGGCCCTAAGGAAGTTAGATTGGCTTCAACCAGAGCCAGGGCCTTTTCAACACTGGCTCCGGCCTGGTGGAACGCTCTGCCTCATGAGACCAGGGTCCTGCAGGATCTGATTTCTTTCTGCAGGGCCTGTAAGACAGAGTTGTTCCACCTGGCCTTTGGCTTGGAGCCAATTTGATTCCCTCCCCCTCTTTCTTTTTTCTATTTCCTTTCTCCTCCTGTGATGAGGCTGCATTTTAATATTTTAATGTTTCAATATTTTAATTGTATTTTAATCTTGTTTTTAAGTTGTATTCATTCAACTTGTTTTTATTATTGCTTGTTAGCCGCCCTGAGCCCGGCCTTGGCTGGGAAGGGCAGGGTATAAATAAAAATTATTATTATTATTATTATTATTATTATTATTATTATTATTATTATCTGGTCCTGACAGTGTGGCTGTTTCTCTACTCCATTATCACTAGCAGTTGTTGGTGTGGGTGGAGAAAAAACCTAATATTATTCATTCATTCATTCATTCATACCCTGTCCATCTGGCTGGGTTTCCCCAGCCACTCTAGGTGGCTTCCAGCAAAATATTAAAATACAATACTTCATCAAATATTAAAAGCTTCCCTAAACAGGGCTGCCTTCAGATTATAGTGATGTCAGGATGCAGGACTAGTTGTAACTAGCCATTACAAAGGTGAAAATGAGAACCCCAGCAATGTTTTCAACAGCAGCAGGATGCTACAAAAGGGGTTTAATCTGAAACATCAGCACCAAGGACAGCGACTCTTCCCAATTTCCTGCTTGATTTACAGTTGATGCAAAATGACGCCTGCTTTGATTTATGGAACAAAGAGGCAACCTTGCACCATCCAAATGTTCTGGGACACAACTCCTATAATCTCTGACTGTGGACATTGGAATGATTACAGCTATAGACCAGAACATATTGAGGGCCCCTGATTTATTGGTTGGTGTTCTGTGGAGGTAAAAGACAGTGCAAACTTAGTCAACAGGAGTCAGGAATATGGCTTAGTCAACAAGGCAAAGTTGACCTAGTCAACAGGATTTGAGAAGTTGGATAGAAGAAAGAGAAAATAGGGATTTGCAGGACAGGTTGAGAAATCCCAGCACAGAGACCTGCACACATTTTTGGGGAGATGGCAGAGAACGTGGTAGATGGAGTGTAAAAGAATTTTAGTGAATCTAAGCCTCAAGCTCCCTGGAATGCCTTGCAGATACTCTCCAAAAGAACCCACCAAGAAACAGCCTTACCTTTCTCATACCAGGGCAAATAAAAAGGGCAGGAGACATTGACGATGGTCCCGGGGCTCCCATCTGGCCAGCATGCATACATGTCAAATGTCCGATTGCAAAACAGCCCTGAAAGAGGCAAAAGCAAGTCTGGTTGGGAAGAGCAAAACATAGAAGGGGGTCCAATATATTCAGCACAACATCCCAGAACACAATGTCAAATGCCTTCCGCATCCTCAGTATATCTGTGGCTGTCACTTCTGAGTTAACTCAGCAAAGAGAACTGGTCCTGGGACAACCCCAGTTTGACCCTTGCCCAAGCCTCCTTAGGCTTTTCTAGACCAATTCTCAGCCACAATCTCCACTGACAACATGGAGTTCCATTGTACATAACACAACTTGTACATCATTCTCCTGAAGCTAAAGGACCCCTTGTGTTTTTTCAGTGTTCCTAAGTCCCTAAATTTGGAGCATGCAGAACGACTCCTTGGTGTTCTTCCTTGGTGCCTTCTCCACAGTGGCCCTGGGAGCCAATCCTCCGACACTGACTCGCCTCCTTTAAATTGGATTGGCTGCAATCAGCACAAAGGGTCAGAAGACACCTTCTCATTGGCTAAAAAGCTCCCCTTTCATGCTGTTTGTGTGGCTCTGGGACTCTAGAGACAGTGACCCTGCTGCAGAGATCATAGCAGGTCTTTGACATCCCCCTTCCCTTCCCATAGTCCATGGCCACTACACCTCTGACTCTGACACCAACAATATTCACTGGGCCATCAGCATTCAGGATTTCCCCCCCCCCCCATAAATATGTTTTTGTCTTACTGCCTGAGCCTCTTGGTACCTCCTTTTCTTGTGTGGATAGGGCCATTCTGGCTATGCAAGAATCCTCATTCGGAGAATGAGTTTGAAGTTCATATACAGCACACTGTCTCCAAACTAACAGCAACTGATGGACCTATCCTAGTTTGCGGATTTGTCTAACCCTCTTTCAAAGCCATTTCAGTGTGGCAGTCCCCACCTGTCACAGCAGCAAGTTCCATAAATCAAGTGTTAACACAACTCAGCAAAAGCATTTGCACATCCATTTTTCAGAAATCAGATCGTAAGCGCATAGCCCTGCAAAATGTAAAAGGGAAGAGAGAGGCAAGTGCCAGTCCCTCGAGGTAGCTTTCTTAACGTTACATGAAATCAGCACATTTTAATTTTATATATTGCTGCTCCTTAAAAAAAAAATGGGTGGGGTGGGGGTGGAAGTAAAGTATTCAATACATTTACTCCCTCTCCCCATTCTTAAACAATACTTAGCTGGTGGTTTGAATGGTTCCATCCTGTGAAGTCATCCCCCTCTTCACAGGAAGGCAACTCAGCAGGCCCCTTCCACTCCTTTTGGATGAGAGCCTTAATAGAAATTGGTTCACTCTGCAAAAATCAGCTTCCCAGCAGGAGCAACATCTATAAAAGCAGTTAAATAGAATCTCCAGACCTCTTCCCTACACACACACACCCTCACCCTTGCTGTAATCAAAATCAGGGTGCTTAAAGGATGCATCTGTTCTTCAGCGGGCTTTTGACTTTGCATTTAGCATTGCAAGGAAGGTGCCTGCTGGGAATTGGGGTCCGGGGGGGGGGGCGTGGAGTTTCACTGGATTCCTTATACTGAGAGAACAAGAATCCACCCTTAGCACTGCACTTAGGTAAGTCCCTTTCTTTTGCTAGAATAAAAATATCCTGTCCATTTTCACTGCTTTGAGTGAAAATGGGCACCCCTTCTGGGACTGACATCCCAGGAATTCCTATGGGATGTTTAGAGACTCTTTTGTCCATTGCAGACTAGAGTATTAAAAGGTAAAGGGTAAAGGGACCCCTGACCATTAGGTCCAGTTGCGGACGACTTTGGGGTTGCGGCGCTCATCTCGCTTTATTGGCTGAGGGAGCCGGCGTACAGCTTCTGGGTCATGTGGCCAGCAAGACTCTGGCGAACCAGAGCAGCGCACGAAAACGCCGTTCACCTTCCCGCCGGAGCGGTACCTATTTATCTACTTGCACTTTGACGTGCTTTTCAACTGCTAGGTGGGCAGGAGCAGGGACCGAGCAACAGGAGCTCACCCCATTGCGGGGATTTGAACCGCCGACCTGATCGGCAAGTCCTAGGCTCAGTGGTTTAACCCACAGCGCCACCTGCGTTCCCACAGACTGGAGTATTAGGTTGGAGTTATAACTGACTGGCGGAGGGAGGTATGGAGAGAGAGAGAGAAAGAAAGAGAGATAGAGTGTGCGTGCGCAGGAAGGTGGGAGAGAAATATAAACCTTGCTAGGGCAGGAAACAGTTGATGTGCCACCTTTATATCAAGTGCCCGGTTAAAATAATTTGCAGCCCATCTACTCAGAAGTCAGTCCCACCCATTTCAATGAACCTCACTGCTAGGCAAGGGTGTGTATAGAATTGCAGCTATGCTATGCAATTCCATGCATGTTTACTCGGAAGTAATACTTGGTATGTTCAATGGCACCCATGGTAATGCAGACATTAAGCTGCAATCCTATACACTTACCTGGGATTAAGTCCCATTGAACTCCAAGGGACTTACTTCTGAGTAGGCATGTATAGGGCTGTATAGTTAGCCTCTTTGGCAGGCCTGCCTGTGATTGGAGGAAAGAAAAGAGAGGGGGGAGAAAGTAGGTGGCCCCAACCAATCAGTGCAGGGAAAATGCATCTCAGGGTATACCTGATATGAACCAATGTCATATTTAGCAACAACAACAAAAAAATGATATGAAATATTTGTACCGTAAACTGGCTAATAAATTAATGCATAAGGTATAAATAATAGGTGTCTCCAAAGAAACTGTGAACTTGAATATCATTTTTCACCCAGTGGTGGTCAGGTAAAGCCCACTCAGAGTCCCTGTTTTATTCACCATTTATTCACCATTCACCATTTTTGCTGCATTTTCTAGTGCATTTCTTCTATCATGCAACTTGAAGAGGATAAGGCCATAGCTCAGTGGTAGAGCATTTGACTTGCATGCAGAAGGTCCCAGGTTCAATCCCCAACAACGCCAGATACAGCAGGGAATGTCCTCTTATCTGAAGACCTGGAGAGCTGTAGACAAATACTGAACTAGATGGACCAGTGTGTCTGACTTCATACAAGGTGATGATGCCCCGTGATCCTTAGAGGCCCCCTTGAAGGCTCAAAGGGGGTTTAAGGCAGTCTCATTGACCTCACTTCAGCAAGGCGGCTGGGTCTCCTGCCTTCAGACCATGCGCAGGAATAGCAGAAGCCTATCACTTTTCAGGATTTCCTCTTCTGCACCATTCTTCTGTAGTCCAATCCCTTAGCAACATAGGAATCTTTTTCCCAACGTGGGGCTTGAACCCTTGACCGTGAGAATAAGAGTCTAATGCTCTACCAATTGAGCTATCCACAGGCTCTGGGCTTCTGTAGGAGGAAGGTGGAGTATCTAAGAACAAGTATTGCTCTAATATTTTTATGCAAACTGCTTTGTGAGGTTTGCCCGAGAAGCAATATGTAAATATCTAAAATTAATAAAGAGATGCAGATTTTTCCTTGCGAAATTGCCACTTTAAAATCAGCCACAAAGGAAACAGCTCCTTACCTGAAGGGTAAGGATCACTTGCTATCTTCTTCAAGCACTCATCTTTATACCTCATCCATTGTTCAAATGTCTTCTCCAGAACTTTTGGGCTGCAGCCCTGCAAAAATAAAACACTCTGCTGAGATTCAGGGCAAAAGCACTGCTAAAGGCCACCTTTACTGCTAGGCGGATAGTATGAGAATGGCCCGGGACAGCATGGCACCACCTCCATGGGGCCACCATAGTCCATCTGCACCTGCTGATTGAACACAGTGAGGACTAGAAACTTGCAGTTTTGCATTAGACAAAAGTCTGAGAAAGCTGCACTGTGCACTCAGTACCACACTGTGATCTCTGCTGGCATGGGTGGACTCACTGCATTGCAAGGGGGGGGGTCAGGAGTCCAAAATCCATTCTCCTTTCCCTTCCTCCCCCACAACAAACACTCTGTGAGGTGAGTGAGGCTGAGAGACTTCAGAGAAGTGTGACTAGCCCAAGGTCACCCAGCCAAAGCTGTCAACATTTCCCTTTTTTAAACGGAAATTCCCTTATTCCAAATAGGATTCCTCGCAGGAAAAGGGAAAAGTTGACAGCTATGCACCCAGCAGCTGCATGTGGAGGAGCAGAGACTCGAACCCAGTTCACCAGATTACAAGACTACCGCTCTTAACCACTACACCACACTGGCTCTCCACCATGTGTATGGTGCAAATGTGACCAGCTTGTTCTCTGTTCCTCGATATAGAGCAGGACTAGAGATAGCAGGTGGAAATGGCACGAAATGAGATTTTGGCTAAGTATGAAAAGAAGCCTGCTAACGGCAAGAGCTGCTCAGCAGTGGAGCAGAGTTCCTTGGGAAGGCCGTGAGCTCTCCTTGGCTAGAGTATTGAGAAACCGGCTGGCCATCTGTTCAGGCTGCTGTGTTTGCAGATTCCTGCACTGAGCCGGAGGTTGGATGAGACGACTGCCAATGTTCCTCCTGATGCTGAGGCTCAACAAACTGTCCACAGTCTTCGTTCATATTTTAGCAATAATGAGGACTAGAAACTTGGCTCTTTTACTGCAACCTCCGAGGACCATGAGCAGAGGCAAGATCTACCTGTACCTACTAGGTGCCATCCTCTGCCACTATGAGACTTTAACACCCAGCCTCCATGCTTATCAGCCTAGACAGCTCAGTTGGTTAGAGCGTGGTGCTGATAACGCCAAGGTTGCAGGTTCGATCTCCATATGGGACATCTGCATATTCCTTTTTTTAAAAATAATATTTATTAAAGTTTCCAACAAAATTACAATAATACAAGAAAAAGAAAAAAGAAAAAAGAAAATACAAAAAACAGAAAAAATAGAATAACAATTAAAAACAAATCAGTCTTTCCATATATTGTCTTTCATTCACTTGTTTCCCTGACCTCCTCACACCTCCCTTTTTTGCATTCCAGTTCAGTTAGTTAATTCAGCAAATCCTTTTCCTCTTTGTTCTTATGTTAATCCTTTATCTTAATATGTTATTACTTCAAGTTCACATCTATTAACAATCCATTTTTACATAGACCTTAATAACATTGCTGCTAAAACCACTTAACTTCACTCCAACATCATTCTAACATTCATTAATTTTGCAGTATTTCTGTAGATAGTCTTTAAATTTATTCCAATCTTCTTCCACCGACTCCTCTCCCTGGTCTCATCTGCATATTCCTTAGGGTCCCTTCCAACTCTACAATTCTATGATTCTATGATGTTAGGAGACCTGCCAAACCTAGCCTACAGCACCTGGCTTTGAGCAGGAAGACACTGTCCGTGAGACAAAAGGTACCCTCCAACATCAAGGCCTGCATGAGTAAAGATGATGAGCTGGCTGGCTTGAAACTCTTACCTCCAGAAAGATCAGGCTCATCCAAGGGAGGCAAATCAATTTAGTCATGGACCAAGGAGAATATGCATCCCTCATAGTTAGCTTTGCTCCTTGGCACGGGGATCACAGCCAAAATATGGTCCCTTCAAAGCCCCTGAGAGAAAGAGAGAAGAACGTGGCAGGAAAACAGGTTTAGAGACACTTTTGGAGAACTTTTTTCTAGGATATTCCAGACAGTCAGCAGAGATGGATGAGCTATCCTGTCTCAAAGAATGCTACAGAAACACTTGCCTCTTCCCATTACTATTTCCCAGCTGATTGAAACGGCTTTCCTTTTATGTAACCACAACATTATTTAGATAACTAAAAATGAAGGGAGAAATAGATCCAGACAGAAAAACAAGAAGTTTTGATGACAGCAAACAGCAGGCACCAAACCTAGGTACCTAATTAAATCATTACTATTACAATTTTTTATTATTATTATTATTATTATTATTATTATTATTATTATTATTACACTATACCTGGAGGTATCACATTTTTGTATTTGATTTTCAGCTCAAAGATCCTTGGATCTAACATCTGCTCAAGGATAGCTACAGATGGAAATCTCCACTTCCTCTGCAGGGAGAGATGGGTCTGACTCACACTCATGCAGCTGTGTGTGTGTGTGTGTGTGCTGAGATTCTGCCCAAGTGTGGAAAAAGAGCAGGAGGAATGAGCCAGCAGCAGACTGGTGGGTATGGGGTGGCAAGCTTCATGTTCCTTATTTTTCTGTCCCATTTGGGGGCTGGGAATCTCTGGGCTCCTGTACCTGGCCCATGGGGTTCTCCCCAGGCCCTGCTGTACACCCACTTTAAGTGGATTTGCCTGGGTGGAATGTGTTCTAAACTATGATGACGCCTCTTGCTTGCCTGGATGGATGGAGGATAAAGGGGTGGTTTTTTTTGCATGGCTGGAATGCAACCAATGGTACAAAAGTAAGTCACGCCTGTTGCTCCGCCCACTTTTTGCCTCCAGCCCCGCCCACCACTGGCATGTGGCCCTGGGGAAGTTTGACTGGCAGGGAATGTGGACCTTGGACCAGAAATGGTTCCCCACCCTGCATTATATACACAATCCTACCCTCTCTCTCTCTCTTTAATGCTTTATTGGTTTCAGAACTGCATAACAGAAATAATCAATAGATTTTAACAACAAAATAAAGATAAACATTCATTCGTTCCTTGATTGCTGCTTGTTTTGTACCTCATTCTATACTTCAATTTAACATGACCTCCGATCTTCCCATTATGTTCCCAAGTTAGATTCCTTGGATACACACTTGACTTTATTTTCTCCTTATTATATAACTTGTTTTTGATTTTTCCAAAACTGTCCTATTCACACACAGAAACTCAGTCGATACCTGCCAATGGGTTGATATTTTGAGAATGTTCTTTTACATAGACTCTCTCTATGTATCCCACTCTCTGGTAAATTTTTTATCTGTAACATTTCGTAGCCTTGCTGATATTCTCTCTAATTGTGCATACGCTCTTAACTGGTTTTGCCAGTCTGATTTGGATGGAATAGTTTCTTCCTTCCAAATTTTGGAATTAAAATTCTGGCAGCAACTGTAGCATACATAAAGATTCTCCTGAACTTTTTTGGTATTTCATTACCCATAATTCCTAGCAGGAAGGCTTCAGGGTTTTTTGGGGGGGGGAGAACATTTAAACATTTTCTTAAATTCGTTGTAAATCATTTCCCAAAATGTCTGACAATCCTACCCTATCTCGATTTCTTCTCTGTT